AACGAAGCTACCTGACGCACGGCAAGCACTGAGAGACGTCTCGGTGTGCACCTGCGGAGTTTTCCACAAGCTGTGACTCCACTTTTCCACGTTTTGTTTCATGGTGGTTTGCATGATACCCCCCCCTAAACTTTCCTTTTGCCGCTTTTCTTCGCTCGCGCGCTGCTGTTGCATCACTGCAGATGAGAGAAACTCCAATGTTCAAACACCTTCAATTGATCGGACTCTTCGCCTTGCCGTTATGCCATTCTTTTTCTCCTGGGAATTGAGTTAACCGAAAACCAATGTCAGAGTGTGGTGGAGACTGGGTGCCGGTCGGTGCTGGGTGTGCGCGTGGTGGAGACAGGGTGCCGGTGCCAGGTGCTGGTGCTGGGTGCTGTGAGCTGGCTGTTCGCGTGGTGGAAACAGGGTGCTGGTGCTGGCTGCGTCGTGGAGACAGAGTACCGGTGCTGGGTGCCCATGCTAGGTGCTGGTGCTGGCTGTGCACGTGGTGGAGAAAGAGTCCTTGGAAAGCTGGCAAATTGCGGGGCAGCTGACTTTTGGAGCCAACATGGTTGCGCACCCTCTCAATCCAAAGCTGTGGATGTGGTTGATGGAGCTTTGCGTGAACATCTGTATGCCTTAGTGCTTGAAGATTATGTATATAACTATATATACAATTGTAGAGCTTGACAAAGTGTTGTTTTTGAAAGTGTCAAGCTGGCTGGGTTGACAGTGTTGTTGGTGCTGGGTAGGATTTGTGCATCCTGGGTTAGCAGCCAAGCATTCTAAGTGACGTTGCTTGTGGACTTTCTTCCCGCATGATACAGCATCCCATAGATGGCACGCGCTCTTTGCACATGTTTCCCCAAACAGCCAGAACATTGGTGCTTTTCCAGTGTAAAAAAGGTTTCTGTGTGTGCTTTGGAGCTGCTGCCAATGTCAATGCAGGGTGCAGTCCAGAAGCATGTTTTGCATGTTTTTTGCTATCTGGGGTCTGTGCTGGCGTAATTGTTTACACTATTATATGCGTACATAGGCTATATAGGGGTACAATTGTCCGAAGCTAATGATTTCAAATACCAGTGACCACCCGAACATCTCGAGTTTGGCGATGCCCCGGGCCCTGCATGTCGGCGCTGCATGTTGGCTCAGTGGAGTCGGTCATGGAAGCTTCGGCTCATCTAGAATCTTGAGGAAAATGACCCCCCCCACACGTGCTTGAGTGGTGTTAAGAGGTTTTACATGGTTTTACCATCCATATTGGGAGGGCTTTTTACTCATCAAGATTCTAGATTCTGTTACTGATTCTGTTGAGGGGGGAATTCGGTCATTTCGATGGCCAGTTCGGCAATTGGCCAGTTTCACCCTTCGGTGACGCTGTTTCGGCCTGAAGGTAGACTCCTCCAACATAGCCGGGTAAACCTGCGCTCGGCTGCTCGGTCGTCGCCGTCTTGTTTCGTGGCACAAGACAACACGGCGCCCAGTTCCTTTCTATAGGAAAAATCACCTGGTCTGGTGAGGCGTGTGGCCACTAAAACCCTTTTGGGAAATAGGATTCTCTAACCATCTAAGCATTGATGAACGTGCCTGCCGTCCTTTTGCCGTAGTAGGCTCTGGACATGGATAATGATTACATGGATCATGGATCTACACAAATCCGCCGTATCAATCCGTATAGTTCTTCCAAAGCAGCTTACCCACAACGCAGGCTCCCCAAATCTCCCCTCTACCCAGGTCTCTCACGCCTGGTGCAAAGACGCCCAGCATGAAGGAAATCAATCCCATTAGGGTGAAGAATTGGCAGGTGGTTTTAGCACAAGCCATGATGGTTCCGGTGAAAAAGTGCGGGGACATCACGGCGCCAAAGGCCGCCAACAAGCCGTAGCCCAGAATCACCAGGGCAGTGGCCAGTGGCGAGCATCCAAAAGTGTTTTCCAAAAGATAGCCTGCTCATGGATCAAAAAGCACCATATCAATGAGAACAATACTTAGGCGTAATTTGGTGGTGGCCCACGTGCGCATAGAAAAGGCACTGAACAAGGATCGAATATGCTTGCATCTATCATCATCTATCTATGTTGCTGAGACTAGGCACAACAGTTTTGAAGTCAAGGACACACTGTAACGCACTTTCCCGAACTGCAGGTTGACTTTCCCATGTTTTCTTTTCGGAGGAAAAGTTGTGGCTCTTGGTCACACAGTTTGAGCGAGCGTCTATTGTTTGTGTCCATCACGAAGTAAGCACCGAGGATGCAGCTTTCGGTCAAAAGTAGCCAGCGCAAACTTGGGTTGCCCAAGATTCTGGAGAGATTTGGTGCTGTCTTGTGGTTTGCCTCCCAGGGCGCGAGCGAGTGTCCGTTCCTGGGGATCCCAATTCTACCGAATCCATTGGGGGAGCCACAAACATTTGTGAAACGCGATGCTGGGAGAACGGACTGCCTCCGGCGCGCTTTCCCGGAGCTGAGTGAAGCCATAGAAGGACAAAAAGGCCCAAGCAACTGAGAGAATGAAAAATGGCATCCGCCAGTTGTAGCGACTCGCAATCCAAGCACCAAACACTGGAGAGATGGAACACCCCACGAAGTCCATACATTCCAAAATTCCTCAAACAAACCAGGGCACATGGCGTGAGTTCTTGCATCGCAACTTGAAGCAAGAATTCCATCACACAGCTCCTTCTCGAACGGGGAATCATGAGAGCGTTGGGCTAAGAATACGCGAATGCCCATACAAGAACACTGTAATGAATGGCTTCATAGCTTCCTATGGCATGTGAGCCATGCAAATCGAGTCTCATCGATCTCTGGACCAGGTCCAGAAGTTCCAAACATGGTTTCAATTTGGTTTTAGCATCAACCAATGATTTTGAATATAAATATTATTGAATATTCCTTCTGCATTCCACTACTTAACACTCCAACTATGTCGGCTCTCCAAGGCACCGATAAGCTTCAGTCGTTGCTTGGCCTCACTGGCGTAGTCTCTGGCCATGGCCACAATCACCGGCTCCACTGACTCCGCCACGCCTTGTAACAACCGCGAAGCCAGGAACCACTCCACCCCTGGGCCGCCAGGAATCACAGACGGACAGGATGAAGGGGGAGAACGCAGTGCACACCCTGCGACACAAAAGGCCCGCCCATGAGAATACCAGCAGGTGATGTTTTGGCGAGGTTCGACAGTGATACAAGGTCTATCGGCGTGCGTGCGGGCGGGCGGGCGGGCGGGCGTGCGGGCGTGCGGGCGTGCGGGCGTGCGTGCGGGGGGGGGGGGGGGGGGGGGGGGCCGCGCGCGTGACTGTGCGCGTGCGCGTGTGCGAGTGTTTCACGGGTTCCTTGTGTTCTTTGGGCTAGGCTGGCCGGGCCCCCAAAAAAGAGACCTGAACTTTTTACGACATGAATCAGCCGAGACGCTGGTGGCACATCCACACATGATGCAAGTGACCATCATCAGCAGCGTCGCAGCTAACAGCATTGGACGTCGGCCAACTCGATCAGAACACCATGCGGCCATCAACCCCACAAGGCCTGCAGGATGTGGTAAGCAGGACTGTTCCCCCCGGTTTTGGCACAATCATGGTCATCAAGCAAAAGTCTAGCACATGTGGTTGTGCGCCAGGGCACAACCTGGCGCGCCCCGCACGACGCAAACCTAGTCGATGCCAAACGACCTCACTGAAAGAAACATGATAAAAACAATCGTCTCTTTGAGCCTTCTTTTCTTGGTTTGGGTCTAGCTGCGAAAGCCCCCACCCTGCCTTTGAGCAAGATGGTGTATTGCAAGCTTCCAGACATCACAAATTGAGAGCCATGGAGAACACGGCCCATCTTCGGGAGGTTTGGGATATACTGGTCGCTGGTGACGTGCACCAAGGCGTACACCAAACACATGAAAATCAACAAATTCGTGGTGGGGCCATCATCCACTGCGGGATCTCTTGGTGCTCTCGCCGGTAGGCCGATGATAATCAGGTAGATCAAAGCCACAATCACGCCGCTGTAAACAAGCATGGTCAGCACATGCCCTATCACCCCCATTGAAAACTCAAAGCTGCCCACCAGTGTTGTTGGCTTTCCGTCGTCGACCCTGAAGTGGTTGAAGAGCTCGCCTACGTTCTGCAGAAGGTGCCATTCGGAGGATTGGCCGCTGTTCACTACGCCTGCAGCCATTTGCAACTGACATGTCGCATCAGACGTGTCAGTGGTATCCTCAAGAATGCCCAGTGCCAACGCACGACCAACGGGACCTACGGGGCACGTGGTCGGGTCACCAAGATTCTGGGCCACCCATAAGAGCTGTAGCTTGAGAAGGCTTGTCCACATGAATCAGCCCTCCCGGCGTGTGAGGCTGAATTGAAAGACTCGAACGTGTGAGCCGTATGAGTATGAGCCACTGACTTTCTGCTTCCTGGGGGAGGTGTCCCTATGTCAAAATACCTGTGTCTCACCAGCCATCCATCGACGCGGCCTTTGCATCGGCATCTCACTCACTTGGGCCTGTTAGTTTGGGGTCTCCGGCTCACGGTGGTCAGTGGCTCACGTGAAACAGTTGCATGGTCTGAGCCCAGAGGGGCTGAGCACGAAGGGTCTCGAGGCTCCGGCGCGAACGCGGCGTTCTCATGAAGCATCACCAGTGGCGCGAGACGAATCTGAAGAGCTGGACGAGACGTTCCGCCTGAAGTACACGAGAAACAAAACACACCTACGCTCCCTGGAACTAACATGGAAGTGGAAAATGACCCCTTGGAAGACCATTTTCCACTACAAACAGGTGGTTTTCCACTTCCATGGTAGTTCTAGGGAGAGTACGAGAAGTTGCGGCCCCCATTCCGAACGAAGGCCGGGCGGGCGACGTCCGTTCAGTCACTTCACCCACTGGTCTGCTTTTGAGGATTTGTGGGGTACTGGATGGCGCTGGGCATCGCACAAGATCACCATCTCCAGGTGATGCCCTGGACCTGGGAGCCAGTCCCCCATCCTCCTCACCGCACCCGTGGACCCACGTGCGGGATGGCCGTCCTCTTTGAGCGTCAGTTGCTTGGCGTTCATCCGCCGGGCCGAAGAGAGCCACAGGGTGTCGGAGATGGCCTGGCGCGGCAGCACCCCCTGGTCACTACCACTTCTGCTGAGGGCAGCCTTGACTAGTAGACAGCAAAAATAGTTTAAGTACGTCAATTATATTCTAGGCATTCAATCGCTGACAATGGGTAATAATCAATACGTTCCTGTATTCAGGGTTCAGTGGGACTGCCAGGCAACTTCTAACATCGTCATTCCCCTAAAAACTGATATGGAATCTCGAAACAACTTTGCTTACGATGTTTTGCAATACAAAATTGTTCACAAACAGATCATAACAGCATGTTGGAGGTCTATGTTCAGGTGTCTCACTTCCCCAGGGTGCATTCTCATTGGGACGACGGTGACGACATGTGATTTTTGAGGGGTCTTCACCTTACCGAAGTGCAAATCCTGGATCGAGATCCTGCAAGCCAGGCACTGATGGAAATTCAGGAGATGCAAGAATCCTTGGCCAAGGAACCATGAGCTTCCATCGTGCAGAGGAAATTCAACGAGGAAAGAAACACCGGAGGACTTACGAAGCCGAAAAGGTGTCTGCTACAAAATGCTTGGCATCGCGCGCAGCGTTTGGAATATCTTTGGGAAGCAAGGCATGGGAGCCTTTTCTATCCACTTATTCACGCTCATCACCGTACCCTGTAACCTGCCTCTACGCATCTTAAAGCTTATTATTGCATATTGCCCGGCTGCGGCTTGAACACAAACTCATGTTTTCATGCGAGTTCACAACTGGTCTTTCCCTGGACATGGAATGTCATGGATGTCTTATTGTATAGACATCATAATGGTTTGGAATGTGGCACTTGTGGATCTTGATCAACAACATCAATGGATAATACATTATCATACAAATCATAACGTTACTCGTTACTCGAGGCTCCCATAAATTGGCAACGTAATCATCTGGATTGCTTGCTACCTGCTGCAGCTAGTTGGCTTCAGGCTCTAGACGCATGGTGTTGGCTCGGTGATGTGGCAAGAAAGTAACCGACCTGATTTGTCTCGTCTTAGCTGTAAATACACACTAGCACATAACCACCTGCTTCCTCTCTGCTGCAGCATTCTGCAGCTCTATCATTCATATCATTCAATTGTGACACTGCATGTGAGAGATTAGTGAATCCAAACATGCTGGACACTCTCCGGTGACTCTCCATGACGTTGCTCCCCCCGACGTTGCCAGGCTGCTCGAGAAACTCTGCGGTCATGGCTTTTTGGTCGCCAGACAACTCAACAGCATAGCCCATCTCCAAGGCATGTTTCTGCGTCCTCAGTTTTCAACTGGGTTCAAAACCGCCCCAAACCCAGTCAAATTCCATCTTCCCAGAATATCCCAGAATAACATCTGCTTCAGTCTGCTTCAGTGTCCGGTAGGGGGCGAATCCCTTCATCCAAACATCTGGTGTGGCTACATGATCTGGCTACATGAATGGCCTCAAATAAAATTGAATGGTGTCATCCCAAATTGCGTACACTCCCTGGAACTAACATGGAAGTGGAGAATGGCCCCTTGGAAGATCATATTCCACTACAAACAGGTGGATTTCCACTTCCAAGTGAGTTTTCGGGAGTGTGGATTTCTCATCACATCTAAAGTGGCACAACTAGTGGATCTGCGGGGGGGTGTCGATCAGGCGTCTATTGGCCAGACCCCAGTGTCCGAGCCACTGCGTTGGGATCTTCTAGCATAAACATATAGCTCCTTTCGCTCTTAAGGGTGGAGGCCATCGCTCTTAGGTTGGAGGCTATCGCCATTAGTGTGGAGGCCTCTATTAGGGTGGAGGCCGTCGCTCTAGGTTGGAGGCCATCGTCAGCAGTTCCAAAGGAATGGCTTCGAGTCCCATCCAGGTTTGTGAATGTCCTGGGCACGCCTGGGCTGGCCAGTCGAAGTTCGGTATCTACTGGATGCATGGAATTTTTGCTTCCAAAGCGAACCTGAGCTGTCACCTTGTTGGGGCCAAGACTCAAGCTGACCACTGTCTCTTTCACTGGATGAGAGATCGAGAGCTCTTCCTTGCTGAGGATGGCCACAAATCTCCCCCGAAAGCAAACCATCAACGAAGCCAGAAACGTGTAGGTAAAGAAAGAGAACCCGTGCACGAAGAAGGTTAGTTCAGCAAAAGGTGACACTTTTCTCCGTGCAAGAGCTCACCCGTCTTCATTGGAGACTCCATCTTCGTGGAATGTTCTTAAGTCTTAAGTGATTCTGCGAGCTTCTAAAATGATCCGAACAAAATTGCAAACGATCCACTTGCCCTTAAGATCCCTTAAGTAATTTCAATCGTTGAACATTGTAACATATTGTAACATTTGTATGTACCCTCCTGGTTGGCATAAATCACAAAAACCGCCAAACAAAGCTCCACAACATGGGTGTCGGTCAAACCCCGCTGCCGGCTGGCCAGTGGTCACCAATCTTGGTCCTCTCTTTCGTTTATTCGTTGAGCTGCTTGAATTCGTTCAAGCACAGGTGGGACTAAGTTCTTCATGGCAGGATTGCGCGGATAGCCCAGCTCCAACAAATTGTTCAAAATCGTCCTGGCGACTGGCGGCTTGCAGAATGCCACAAGTGCAGGGAAGCGTCGTCCACAAGCTTCAAAACTACTGCCGGGCTGGGCTGGTCTATTGAAAATAGAGACGGTCGCTGGTTGACTGAAGAAAAGCCCATGGTGGGTGGGGTTGGGGGTGAGCTCAAGCTGCTGGAATGTGGACTTTCCGAACAGGTGAAGCATTGGGAGTTGCGTTTCCCCGGCTTTTATCGCTCGCCCAGCCGTGGCTCTCTCTCTCTCTCACACACACACACCTGAGCCGTACGAGTTCCTATTGCAGGAGTTGCGAATGAGGGTAGGGGATGGTAGGGGCCAAAACCATGGATTCAGCTCTCAGCAGTTCCAAGGAAAGCTTTTGCTATCCAGGGCTCGTTAGCTCCTGCCAAATCAGCAGTCTGAAGAAAGTATCCGAAAGTGAGAAAACCATACAAAACCCACTCACCAGCTGCACCACCATACCTTCGGCACCGGGAGAATCCCCCTGCGCGGGTCCTGTAGTCCCGGTGGCTTCCACGACCAAAAGAGTTGATCTTGTTCACATGCCACAGCTCATCTTCCAAACGATAAATGCTGACCAACGTGGCACTCCTGGGCAAGAACTGGCCCCAAGGAGGCGCTTTTTCATCTTTTTCTATTTTCCAGTGTGCTTGCTTCTCACGTGGAGAAGCAGTTGTCGCCGTTGTCGCTTGGAGGCGCTTGTGGGTGTGCTGGTGTGCTTGCTTCTCAGTGGTTGAACAAATGCCGCCTAAAAGATGTTCATTGTAAATTGAGAGATGTGCATATGTCCCAATGCACTCGCCAAGGGGCTCATCGCCAAACTTGGGGTGATAGCCCACTTCGTTGTCAGCCAAGATTTCGTTGCCCTCTGACTCCGCGTCCACCACCACACAGCCTGAAGCGAGACAGGTCAAAGCTGAAGGACTTCAGGTCCGATCTTGGACCAGCTTGCTGCTTTGATTTTGGTCCCATGTTCTTGGCGCTTGTGTTTTAGATGTTTTGCAAGTCATTGGTGAACGGGGGGCTATAAGTTTGTTGGAGGGCAGTGATGTCATTGACCATGATGATCTCGATTGACAATTGCGTCTGGAGCCCTGTCCAAAAGGTGGGAGCGGGATATCCTCCCACTGCTGCGTGCTGCAAGAGTTCTTACTTCAACAATAAGGCAAGCCCGCTGAACCCACGCCACTTTTTTGTGTCTGCGGGTTTATTTTTTCCTCTTCGAGAGTGCAAGAAAACACACCAAGAGTGTAGTGGTTGCAGGGAACTGCCCACAACATTGATGCCTCTGCCGCGGATCCACAGCTTCTATGTTTCTTTCAGTGCGGAACCTCTTGTTCTCTGCCCACTGGCCTCTGCCAAACCTAATTAATAGTATCCATAAGCATATCTAAGCTGTTCTTATGTGAGTCCATCACAAGGAATCACTCCATCCCATGTGTGAGAACACCACCCCTCCCAAACACCACCATGGCAGACTCGCGCGTTTCATCAACCCGCTCCCCCATCACCGGGGGGTTGGTCCACGAATCGCCCAGGCCGTGCTGCCCAGGAGCGCAAGGAGGTGAACTTGGACAAGTCTCGGGAGTTGGTCGGGGAGATGACCTCGGACATCCGAAGCTCACCCTCCAAAGCCCCGCCCTCGCCGTCGAGGACGACCCCGGAGTCCCGAGGACGACCCCGGTGTGTGAAAGGGTGAAGGTGGTTTCAATTCAAAGTCCATGTGCAAGAGATTGGGTGACATGAAGCCCGTTTCAGCACCCCAGCCAGGATGGAAATCTTCCAGAGGCATCTGGTGTTGGGGTGGATGTCACGGTGGGTTTTGTGCAAGCTGGTTAGAAGATCTAGACGTCTATGTAGTTACAAAGGGAGTCTATTGAATTTGCTCCTCTTCACGGGATTTTGCAGAACAGTACTCATTATCCTCTGGGTCATCCACGCGTCTGGGAGGCTGCTAGTGATGAGGTGTCATCATTGTCATCATATACAGGTCACCCGGCAGGGTTTCCATGAGATTTCTGCTTTCATCAAATCCTAGGCTGAATGGGCGCTTGCTTTTCAAGGAATTCACTTGATTCACCCATCTAAATAGGGGCAGGGACACCACATGCAGAAACAACGGTCCTTCTTTGGCGGCTCCACGGTGTGTTCTGAAGGTGTTTGAGCATCTGTAATGGCATCCTTTTGCACTTCAAAACGTACCACCATTTGGGCGGCACATCATGAGAATCATCCATTGCTATAGTGCCCTATTGTGTGTAAAGTATTTGTTCTTAGGTATTGACTAGGCCGTGTTGAATGCCCACACCTCAAGCTCCTGGAGCCTCCCGTCCACCTCTGCTTCCTTCTCGTCCGAAGTAGCAAAAAGGAGGTCAGTGACGCTGGGCGGCAGCAAATCCACTCGGATCTCCACCACTTGCTTGCCTGGCATCGCTGGGAATATCTGGGAACGGTGGAAGGAGACCATTGAATTTGACATTGCATTGCATGAAAGGAGGGGGGAGTGAAGTTTGACAGCAACACCGGCAACACCTGTTACACAATCAGCTGAGTGGTGCGACTCGTAGGGAATGAGGGAATGGATTTCAAGAAATCTCTGTTGGGGGCTCATTGCCTTATTCCGTACTAAGCACCCGTCTGAGTCTGCGTCGACGTCGTTTTTCACCACCTGACCGCCTCTCAAGCCTCGGTGATTTTTGCCACAAGACAATGCAGCTGCATTGACAAGCTGAAAAAGCAAAGCCAACAACTGGTCCAGGTGCATCCTCATGCGGAGACCAAGCCTTTCGGAACCCCGGAAGAGCGCCAAAGGCCAAGGTACCCGCCACCCTCCACAGCGATGCTCGAATTTTCGTGCCCGGCCTCTTCGGGAGGTGGGGTCGTTGGTGTCCTCGTGGCAAAAGACCGGAGTAATCATGGCCTGGCCCGCGAAACGGCGAAACGGCGATGGGTGACGGTAGGTGGTAGCGTCCTGGCCCTTACGGTTAAGATGTGCATGGCTTCGAGTGGCCGAGTCCATTTGCTCAACTGCAATTTATAAGTGCTCCTCCAACACTTCTGACCACATGGACCGTTTTAATCCTTTTGAAGGAGCCCCTTTTCCTTTACAAAGTGGGTCTGGTCCTTCCATGACGGCGGTAGATGTGCCTCCTCAGGTGGACCCTCAGCAGGTAGACCCCGCGGCTTCGCCGGTCCTTCCCGCCGTGCCTTGGAGCCTTCCGCTCGGTCGCCGTGGCGTCCGCCACTCTTGCTCTGGGAACCGGGTCCTCGGGGACAGAGTGTTCAAGGAACTCCCATATCCAGCATTTGACCGGGAAGGAGGGAAGTCCAGACTTTGGACTTGGTCATTCAAATACATTCCAATATATTCAGATGTGGGTTATAACTTAATTAACATCTACAATTGCCGCTTGATTCAATTGTGAAGCTTAGACTTAGACTGCTCTGTGGGAACACTGACAGAAACCAGATCCTGAGCCAAGCAGCTTGGGCTGTAAGGCCCCAAGCCTGGGGCAGAATACTTCACAGCATGGCAGCCATGTGCATCAATAATCTCCAGCACCTGATCCTGCCGAAGATCAGCGGGTGAGGAGAACAGTCGACTTCTAGCTGTGGCCGCCCTCAGGTGACTTACTAGTGATAGCAGGCGCCAGTCACCTGTTCACTGGTCAACCCATTGATGAACGCCGTCCTCGTTGCAAATGATGCAGCTGGCATCCAAGGAGTCAAAAATGCCCTTGGGATACGCCCAGTGGAACCTTGGGAAGTATTGGCTGAAGCGCAAGTGCAGTCAAGCATACACACTCACTACCACAGCAACCAGCTGGTGAATTATAGCTGCATCTTCAAATGAGACTCGTCGAGGTTCGATCATCCAAAACAGCTGCTATTTGAGGGAAAATTCAAAAAAGGTGTTTCTAAAGAAGTCCGATGGGAAAAAACGGCTGCTATTTGAGGGAAAAATTATAAAAAGGTGTTTCTAAAGAAGTCCGATGGGAAAAAACAGCTGCTATTTGAGGGACAAATTCTAAAAAGGTGTTTCTAAAGAAGTCCGATGGGAAAACACAGCTGCTATTTGAGGGAAACATTCTAAAAAGGTGTTTCTAAAGAAGTCCGATGGGAAAAAACAGCTGCTATTTGAGGGAAAAATTCTAAAGAGGTGTTTCTAAAGAAGTCCGATGGGAAAAAACAGCTCCTATTTGAGGGAAACATTCTAAAAAGGTGTTTCTAAAGAAGTCCGATGGGAAAAACAGCTGCTATTTGAGGGAAAAAAAGGGGGTTCTAAAGAAGTCCGATGGGAAAAAACAGCTGCTATTTGAGGGAAAAATTCTATAGGGGTGTTTCTAAAGAAGTCCGATGGGAAAAATGCTATTTGAGGGAAAAGTTCTAAAAAGGTGTTTCTAAAGAAGTCCGATGGGAAAAACAGCTGCTATTTGAGGGAAAAATTCAAAAAAGGTGTTTCTAAAGAAGTCCGATGGGAAAAAGCAGCTGCTATTTGAGGAAAAATTCTAAAAAGGTGTTTCTAAAGAAATCCAAAGGGAAAAAACAGCTGCTATTTGAGGGAAAAATTCTAAAAAGGTGTTTCTAAAGAAGTCCGATGGGAAAAAAACAGCTGCTATTTGAGGGAAAAATTCTAAAAAGGTGTTTCTAAAGAAGTCCGATGGAAAAAACAGCTGCTATTGGAGGGAAAAATTATAAAAAGGTGTTTCTAAAGAAGTCCGGTGGGAAAAAACAGCTGCTATTTGAGGGACAAATTATAAAAAGGTGGTTCTAAAGAAGTCCGATGGGAAAAAGCAGCTGCTATTTGAGGGAAAAATTATAAAAAGGTGTTTCTAAAGAAGTCCGATGGGAAAAAACAGCTGCTATTTGAGGGAAAAATTTTAAACAGGTGTTTCTAAAGAAGTCCGATGGGAAAAAACAGCTGCTATTTGAGGGAAAAATTCTAAAGAGGTGTTTCTAAAGAAGTCCGATGGGAAAAAACAGCTGCTATTTGAGGGAAACATTCTAAAAAGGTGTTTCTAAAGAAGTCCGATGGGAAAAAACAGCTGCTATTTGAGGGAAGAATTTTAAAAAGGTGTTTCTAAAGAAGTCCGATGGGAAAAAACAGCTGCTATTTCAGGGGAAGATTCTAAAGTGTTTCTAAAGAAGTCCGATGGGAAAAAACAGCTGCTATTTGAGGGACAAATTCTAAGAAGGTGTTTCTAAAGAAGTCCGATGGGAAAAAACAGCTGCTATTTGAGGGAAAAATTCCAAAAACGTTTTTCTAAAGAAGTCCGATGGGAAAAAAACAGCTGCTATTTGAGGGAAAAATTCCAAAAAAGGTGTTTCTAAAGAAGTCCGATGGGAAAAAACAGCTGCTATTTGAGGGAAAAATTCTAAAAAGGTGTTTCTAAAGAAGTCCGATGGGAAAAAACAGCTGCTATTTGAGGGAAAAACTTTAAACAGGTGTTTCTAAAGAAGTCCGATGGGAAAAAACAGCTGCT